AATTCAAAATCTTTTCTTCTTATTACCATTAATGAATTTCTTATGAATTGATAGTCTATAAATTGTTGAAATTCTCTATTTATTTTTGATTATGTCTCTATGTTTCATCAAAATTTTCTTCAACTTTGGATGTTTCTGCCTGATATATTGGTTGAAGGATTTTTGGATTAAAATCTACTCCCATTAATTTATATCCTATATTGAAATTATCTATACATGATTTTGACATTACTACAGGTGTTTATTCTCTTATTTTGCACGAGGTTGACCTACTTAATATTTCATAATTTATATCTCCTTCTTACTATTTCTTTTAAGAAAAAATTAATCTTTTAATCCTACAACTTTTAACTTACTTGTAACTAAGTCCCTCAACTATGACTTACTACAACTCAATCCCTTAACTATAACTCGCCTATGACTCAATCTCTCAACTTTTAACTCACTTTTAATCCAATCCTTCAACTTTTGTTAACTCTATTTTTTATGTTAATTTAGATCCCACATCAAAGAGCAAGAGGAAGATATTTTAGAGCAAAATATGAATATTTCTTTTATTCCTTTTATTTGATAAGAAAATTTAAAAAAAAATAAGGACCGAGTTATAAGTGAAACAACAGTTGAGGGACTTAATTGCAACGAGTTATAATTGAGGGATTGAGTTATAGCAAATTATAGTTGAGAGACTGAGTTACAGGTGAGTTAAAAATTGAAGGACTAAAAGATTAATTTTCCCTTCTTTCAATTTTCCTTGTTCTAGTTGGCTAGTTTTACTAGTTTTGGAAAGGTCCAACTAGTTGGTAACTGTATTTCACTATGTTTTATTTTCATTTTTATTTTTTTGATTATTAATAAGGTTTTAGAGGGGTCTCCTATCTCTATTAACATTGATTCTTCTTTAGGAGTTTCTTTTATGGCTTTAAAGTTTTGATGCGTTTTATGTATTCTAAACATAATCATGTATTGTACAACCATATATGTGACTTTCTTTTTTTACAAGAGCCTGGACTACCTATTTTCATAACTAAGGCTTCTCTACAACCTTTGACTTTTAATCCTATAACAAAATTTGGGAAACAATCAAAATAGATTAATCCTTCGAATAAAATTAACTATATAATTCCAACTAAAGATTTTTGAAAATCTTTTTTCTATCTTGTCTCCAAGCATATAAACATAGGTTCATCTAAACCTAACCTAAAATTAGATTTTACTTACAACTGTATCATTCCTATGTGCATCCAACTATATTTTTCTTGATATTCATTTATTGTTTCTTTTGGAATCATATATTTACATAGTGTCTTTCTTTATTTATTCCTATTTCTCTTTCTATGGTTTGTGTTATATAAGAAAAATCAAAAGATGTTTTCTTATAAACTTCTTTTTCTTTTAAAGGTTGGCGTTGACCAATTTGTTAATTTATCTTGTAAATTGACTATTATTATTTCTATTTCTCCAAAAATTTGACCATTTTTTACCTCTTCTATCTCTCCTTCAGGTTTATTATTCCTATTTGACTATAAATTGAGACTCTGAAAACTTATCTTATCTTCTTTTTTGGACTCAAATCCTAATATCTTACTGAAACAGTTCATTTTTCTGTTTCTACAAGTTTTATTTTATATTGTTCTTTTTCTTCCTAAGCTTAGCGAGAAGACCACCACCTAATCCAACGAACTCACACACTATCAAGTCCAGGCTCCTAGGCTTACCAATATTTCCACCAGGAAAAATTTAAACAGTATAAATAAAAATAGTTTAAATAGATCAATCAACAAGTGCAAAATCAACAAGGCTCTGATACCATGTACAAAAGTGGATCAAAATTAAACATATAAAGATTAGAAATGTTAAATTTAAAAGAAAAAAGTAATGACAAAATAAATGTTACAGAAAAAGATTCTTCAACAAAAAATTTATAAATAAACAAAATAAAAAGAATTAATTTTACAAAAAGCCCAAATATAAAAAATTAGATATAAGGACTGGGTTTATAGATGCAAATAAATTAGATATAAAAAATGGATATATATATATATATAACAATAATAACAAGCTTCATCACACAAAGTGGGGTCTAAGATCCAAGGTCCCAAGTTCAATAAATAAAATAAATATATATACAAGGTATAAATTATGTACACATCTATATAAATATATATATATATATGTACATACCTATGTATGTATGTATGTGTGCGTATCCATAGATAGATACGTACGTACGTACGTACATAAATTTACCATGTCTATGCTAAGAAAGTAACATGATATCACTGCAAGCAATCCTTGAAATCCTGATGTCTTGTACAATTAATCAACAATTGACAATGCAAATCCCATCATTTCCATTTTCAATATTATATGATATTATGATGGATTTGAGTATGTCTTTTCTTGCATTCTTGTGCCTATTAAGTATACATATCCTATGCTGATTATGTATTTCATGGTATTAATCTTTCCGGGTCTCCAATCTTGTACAAAATACACCATGTGACAGAGTCTAAAGAACTGGTAAAGAAGGGAAACAAATGAGACAATACTTAAGGCATTCTAGAGTAAGACAATTATCCCTACAAACCAAGCAACCATCATAGTACCCATGCAAGTCCAACATAGTGCAGGGAAGTCAACAGCATTGCTACTACCTGAGACAAATACTATTAGGATAGAAAGAGATGAAGAGAGAAGAAGAAAGATAGGTAGACGAGAGGGAGAGAACAGAGGAAAGTTTTTAGAAGAGACTTTCTGAATAGAGCATTTCATTAATGAAGATCAACCATCATGTATCTGGACGTATGGTATTTATAAGGCTGGACTATTAAGACTAAATAACAGAGCAAGTACCAAAATAACATTTATACCCCTGTCCCAACTAATTCTTATGTTCCCTACTATTTACAAATCAGTTTCACATAAAGCTACGTTTTTCAATTTGATTGATCATTTTGTACACTCTAATCTAGCAGGAATGGTTTAAACTTGGATAAATAATTTATATTATTGGGACACTTTTGTGTGGAAGATATAACTAGTTAAGGCTTGCTAGGCTAAGTGGGAATAAATTAGCTTAGCCTATTCGCTAGTCATGACTCAAATTTTGGGTCATGATAGATATGATCGATTTCTCTCTCCCTCTCTCTGTACTATATGTATACTCATTTTAGTGAATAAAGATCAGATCTTCTGCTGCCAGATAACTTCATCTAATATATTTCTCAGAGGCCACTTTCATCCTTTTGGGCTTGTTTGATTCTATTCTTATGTTCTTGAAAGAATTTTGCAGAGTAAATTTTTAGATCAAGTTTTGGAAACAAAAAATTAAAAAAATCTGATTGAATTATTATTTTGAAAAGCATATCTAAGGTGGTGAAGTGAAAGATGGATCTTCTAATCAACATAGTAGACACTCGCCTAAAAATTATACTTTTAATCAGCTAAATGCCCGTTTGAATTTCAGTTTACATTTGGCAAAAGTACATTTGAAAGATCCAACTATTTGTTGGATTTAGCAAAAGTACATCTTAGATGTGATTTGAATGTACTTTTGAGTGTTACCCAAATAGGCCCTAAGTTAACTTTTTCTTAATAACAACAACAACAATAATAATGCCTTCTTCAAGAATCAGCAGAGGACTATGGAGCACACAGAAAAAATTCATGTGGTCTATTCAAGGCAATAATATCCAATATCTGCTTTCCCCTTGCAGTACACACATTTATCAGTCCAAGGATCAAGGGCATAATACAAAGTCACAATGGACCATCAATATGCCTATTACAGTTTTAAAAAAATGCAGTAACCAAACTATTAGTGATGGATTTCTGTGTAAGAAAGCCTATGCAAGTAGGAAGAAGAAGAGTGTTAATAGAGGAAGTGAGAAGCATATTCAAGGTGTTTATATGTTGAAGATAGTGGGCTGAGGTTGAGGTCATGTGGCAGATAAGAATGATTTCAAGTAGGACGTTAGGAATGGAGAAAAATAGGGAAGGCTAGGAAGCATGCAAATTTTGAGAATCGTGGTGGAAGCCTAAGCTTGTGAGAAGCTAGGATTGTTTTCTTTCTTTACATGCTAGATTTACTTAAGAAGATGAATGTACTGCAGAGTTGATGATAGAAAATGCTGGTATTAGTACTCGTCAATTAGCCACAAATGCTATGGACGAAAAATAATAACATGGGTTCAACAAGGCAAGGATGGGATAGATCCGTGTCAAAAATAAGTTTTTTGCACGCTAAGTTGAAGTGAAATTCATGAGTTGCCTCTAAAAGTCAAGGTGGTAATGAAACAAAGGAGAAGGAAAGTACTCAGAAAGAAGTAAAAAGTGTTGGATATGAGCTCATGTTCATTATTGGGCATGGGCTTATTATCTCACTTAACCCAGTTTTATTTCCTTTTCTTCTTCTAACCTTATTTTTCCTCTTTCTAGAGTATTTGTTATCTGCCCATTTATTAGGTTTTATTTTTCCAAATATTTAAGGAGAGTTTTTAGGGATTTTTCATCTGGCTCTCTCCCAATATGTATCCTGTTTCAGATTGAATAATGTTATCAAATCATCCAGAAACAATTTCAAAAAGAACAGGAATTGCTAAACTATACTTACTTTAGGCAACTAAAGTTTAAAATCAGTACATTTAACTTTCCCCCTTTCTCTCCACAGTAAATAGACGAAGGCAATAATGAAATAAGTCAATGTCTGTCAATGGAAGGGAAAAACTGCATATCAATAAAAACAAAAGAGCAGAAATCAATCAATCACCAATTACATGTCCCTTCAAATCTTTTCACTTTTGAGAAGAAAAGCAAAGAAAATTAAATACACTATTAAAAAATGTAAGACATTTTTAACCGAATCTCACCCTCTAATAAAATAATTACCTACTTTCCAACTAACCTTAATTTACCCCTATTAAACAACCTATAATAAATATAAAGTATTATCAATAGGGACACTTTTGAAAAAAAAAAAAAACAATGATTACACCTCGAAAGACTAAAAATGCCTTGCATTTTTTAACATTCAACCCCTCAAAAAATGCCTAAGGGAGGGAGTAATTATCTTTCCTCCAACCCTCAGTAGCTTTAATCAGAAAAGACTGGCCAAGACATGATAGGCTTAAACTCGTTAACTTGAGTTTAAGCTTACCTGCTCCGAGGACAGTAGCAAGTTACTTCATCAGTCATACTAGCCATAGGTTGAAGAAACATGCAACCATGAGACAAACCTACAGATTCAACCTAGTAATAGATAAACCCAAACATAGACACCATAGTGCAGGCTTAGACAATGTATAGCCGCACACTGTTGAAAAGAAAAATATGAAAGAGACAATTATGGCAATCTTTCTTCTGTAAATGTTTCCAGAGACACCAAAAAATTGCTCCCGACTATAGAAACAAATGTCTTGAAAAATTGCCTAGAAAAGAAGAAAGACAAAGAATTAATAACCAGGCAAGCGTCCCTGAAGAGTTTGCTGATCGAATTTAAATTTAGAGTAATTTAGGCATGCTAGCTAGCACAAAACCATTAATTCAAGTTATTCAATCTCCAAGTCACATTAGAGGAGAATGCTGAGGCATAAACACGGTGCTACTATAATATAGGTCAACGCAAAAAGGGTAAAACTAGACGGAATACATGGAACTACTATGACTTCGCAGAAAGTAATGGTCAGGCATCAGACGAAAGGTCGTCAAAACATAAACAAAGATAAATTAAAGAAAAATCTTACCTCAGGCGAGCTTTAGAAAGCTCCCAATAGCACCGACTATAATGGCGAGTCAAGTAGACAATGTCCCTGGCTTTAGACGGCCACGCTGAGACGAGAGATGTGAGATCGACTGCACCAGTAGTAGAGGAGGCAGCAAAGACAGCCGGAATGCCATCGGATTTGGTAAGTCCGAGTTTCAAGGAATAGGAATTGGGAACAGAGGAGGATGAGTGAAGACGATGGGAGTGAGAGAGAACACCAAGACGAAGAACGCCATCAGTGGAATATTGGAGGACTATTGGAGGAGCTTGGGGTAGAAACGGAGAGAAGAGAACTCCTCATCGCGCCAAGGAAGCAGAAGAAGATGAGGAATCCACAACGAGGTAGGGAAGACCCAGCCTGCGACGGCCAGGGAAGCTGAAAAGTGAAAACGTGAGGATAGTCAGTCCAATGCGGTTTTTTTCCCCCCTTTTTGTGGCATCATTTTTTCCCCACTCTAATCGGGCTGGTTTTTAGTTTCCTAATGGATTTTCTTGACCCAATCCAAATGAATTGGGTTCAATTTGCCTCTTAATAGTAATTGACCAGAGGGAGCAGCCATCCTTACTTGGTTGAGTTTATTTTATTTTCCGTGAAAATTATAGAATTATTTTTAAAATTAATTTTTATAAAAAAAATTGTAAAACTATTATTTTTTTAAGAAAACAACAGTTTACATATGTTTTATTAATATATTTTTAAAAAAATGGACTCAGACTATGCCAACTCATTCTTAAGACTAGCTAAAAGAGTTTTCAAAAACGAATGAAAAGGATTTAACAATTATGCGTGTACTGAAAATGAATTAGTAAATGGATATGGGTGTGGTAAGTATCCCAAATCCTATCAATCAGTAAAAGTTCTAGATACTTAATCCAATGGTTGACAAAAATATTGGTTGTAAAAGGTATAACTAGAATTGAGAAATAGAAAAGCCTAACTCATATGGACTTGATCATTATAAGCCTGGTCTTTATGCCCTCAAGCCCTTGAGCTTAGTTTTTCTAAAATTGCTCATTTCTTAAGGCTTTTTAAAAGGTTCAAGTTTAAGCCCATAAGCCTTTAAAAAAATAAAATTTAATATTATAAATTAATTAAAATACACTGAAATTGATATAAATCAACATCGTCATTATCATTTATAAAATAAATAAATGATTTAGAAATATTTAAGATGGAGATAAACTAAAATGAAAGCAAACAAGACGCAATCGATTAAATAATAGGAACTAGTTCATTTGTAAATGATTCATTTAACAGTATCAGGAAAGAAGGATCAATAAAACAAGATGCATTGCAAGAGGCAATAGTTACACAAATATTATAAATGTCAACAAGTATGAGAGCTTTTGGAATGATCCTGTGCATTTCAAAATATAGATGATAAAGTATAATCAACACCATCACACATACATATAAAAGAAATTAAATGAACATAGCATTCTCAAGAAACCCTATAGTTTTCAAAGGATGTCAATTTAGGCATACTCAAGGACATGACACTTCCATCATATGTAAGTTCTATAACATTCCAAAATTTCAATCCTGTATTATTTACTGATTATAGAATGAATTAGTGATTTAAGATAAGATTAGGATTATAGATAGTGAGGCATTATTTTGATTCACTGGGATGTTATATGAGCATATATGAGTGAAAGAATGAGATTCCATGGCAAAGCGTGTGAGTGTAGTAAGGATTTCCCTTACTGTGCCATAGTGTATGGTGCAGAACTTTGATAAGTAACTTCAGAGAACAACTCATGAAACAAAAAGGGAAACAGAGTTAGAAGGGTTAGACATGCAGAAGAGTACGGACATCTGCTAGGGCAAGTAATATAGGGAGCAAGAGTAATGTTTCCCACCTGTTACTTATCAGGTAAGTCTCGTACTACCTTAATCTCCGATTTTATCCTATTCTTTCTTAGTTTAAGTTATTGAGAAATTAAATTCAGAAGTTTTAAGGAGATAATTTCTTACCCTATAGTAATAGAAAGGTCCTCTAAGACTAAACTAATACTATGTGACTGGTTTAGGTTGAAATGATAAAACTTTAAAGCCATAGGTATAATTTGCTCTAATATAGAGAGAGAGTAGGAAGAGAAAATTTGTTTATGAGGAAGTTAATGTATGAGGAGAGTGGTAATTGGTTGTGATACGCGTGAACGAATGTGAATTATGGAAGTGATAGTCATTTGATGTTTAGTTATAATAAATGACACTTTTTTGTCAATAAAGTTGTTGACTATAGGTGCTTAAATTGTATAAATTCTAACATGTGACGCATGAATTACGAAAAGGAGCTTGAATAGGGTTATGGAACATGAATAACTCTTTTATTGAACAGAAGGGTTGAGGTAACCATATATTTTATTATACTTATTAACTATTATAACTATGTAAAAGTAATTGTAAACTAGTGGTTTATTAGTTTTTATGTATAATTGTGTTTCATAAAATAGTTTTTAGCATGAACTGGATTTGTAACAATGAAACGTACTGATTATGGATTTTAATTTGTGTAAATATATGTAGGTATATATATATATATATACACATACATATATGTAAATGTAATTATGCAAATATGGAAAAGTAGTGAAATTGCATGAAAAGCATGACCATAAGGGGTAGGAGTTTACCTAGGGTATGTATGGATATGTGTGAGTGGAGATGTAAGTGAACAAATCCATATAGTTAGGCTAGCACTATGAGACATTCAATGTAGCATATTAGGAGCTGGTATCATGGGTAATCCAGTATAGCATATTATAGGATTGTTACCATGGGACATCTGAACAGTCTGGCAACTTCCTAGTGCCTGTTAGGGTGGTTAGGCTACCCCTTATCACTATGTGAGTGATTAGTAAGGGGAGTATTCATTTGACACCCCGCCAATTAGTTAGGGGAAATCCATAGTCCAAAAGTGATAAAGAGATATCATTCTTACTTCTTCCACTAATGGTGAGTTAGGACTGACCAAAAAAGTCCTACATATAGCCTATGGATTTAGTTAGGGGAACTGGAGGTTTGGAGGATAATATTGAAAACATATTCATGCATAAATATCTGTGCATTGCATCATTGATTATACATATCCATATTATTGCGAAAGTAATACTACTATATCCCTTGTGTTTCATTTTACTTGCTAGTTAGTATTTAAGTTTATTTAAGGTATTAAGACTTTTGTCTCGCTACATTACTTCATAATTATAAGTGTTAAGAGTTCGAAGAAACCAGGAAAGGAAACGCGAGAAGAGTAGTTGTGTTACTACAACTTGTAATGCTACTCTTATTAAATGAATATATATTTGTACAAACTCTTAAGTAAATGAATATATATTTGTATGTAAAGTATTTAAGTTGCCAATTAAGATGTATACATGTATATATGTTGTTTTGGTAACTTGCTTATACTTTCTTTTGTGCTTCTTCGCCATTTGTGTAAGCATGTGTAAATTTGATCTGTAGCTTGGATTCTATTATAAGCAAGTGTATAAATGTGTTATTTTGTGAAATCTTGTCTTATAATATGTGAAAAGTGATATTTTCTTAACTTATGGTGCCTAGAGTGTAGGTAATAGTATAAAGCTAGAGGTTGTTAATGAGCAAGATTTGAGAAATTTAAGCATTTAACTTTCCCCATTAATGTGTCTACGTGTTTTTGTGATAATGTGTGTATGTGTGTAAATCAAGTGATGATTGTGAACTTGACCAAATAATAAGGCTTGGCCCCATTTATACACTTGCTTATAATAGAATAAGTATGATTGTATTAATGAAGTATGTGTGAGTAGAACAAGCATGATTGTATTAGTGATAGTTTATTAATTAAGCTTAATGTTGTGAAAATCTCATGTAAGTCCACCCATGTAAAAAGTGGTGTTGAAAGATTGAATGAAGCATATGTTGTGTTATATGTGATTTTATGTGCCAATTGGGTGTATTTAGTCCTTTTAAACTATGTTTAAAGCTTAAAGTAGTCTAATGAGGCAATGTGTTAAATTCGAATATTTAAGGTGCTAGGTTTTTTTAAAAAAGTAACTTTTTATACCTATGTGTCCAAATTAGTATCGCATCATTAGATTGTATTTGGATTTCTCTCATTAATTAGCTTGTCTTAAGAGCTTCTTGTAGGCATTTGAATCACTCTAATTAGATATCATATGTGAAAATGATGCACATCGAAAGTTCATGTCAGATTGCCATCATGATAATAAAATTTGATATATGCATTGCAGCATATGGTAGCATGCCACGATACATGACACAAAGCTAAGTTTCATGGCTCTGTATCATATGTCATAGTTTATGTGGTACACGCCATGGTTTATGTGTTACATGCCATGGTGCATGGCACATTTTGGGTAGACTGATTATTTTGCTTTTACTTTTAATGCTATGGTGTTTATGCCCTTGTAAGTGCTTTCTTTAGGCATAAACGCTTGTGTTGAGTGCTTTTAACTTAAGCCTGACTCTTGTATTTTCAAAATAAGTTAAGTACTATGTTTTAAATTTTTGTGCTAACACATGACAGTGGAGTAGGAGGCAGAGTTTATATGCTTATCTTGCTTGCAGTTGTCATATAATGTGTGTAAGTAGAGTCCATGGTTAAGCTGTGGGACTTTAAGCAAGCACCCACTTAAGCTTGTGTTGGAGTGTAGAAATCTCAAGTGGTTGCTTAGAGACTAGACGTAGGTTTAAGTGGCAGAGTTGAATCAAGTTAAATCATAGTTTTCACTCTCTTTTCTCTTAACTTTTTATATTTTTAGCAATCTTAGTTTATGTTCTATTTTAGTGTACAAAATTGAATTTAATATATTTGTATACTCTTATTTGAACTTTCACTTAGAAATTTATTTTACACATATTGAGCTTGTGAAAATGACTTTAGCATCCTTGTATCAAAGTTTATAACTTAGATTTGCTCAAACTTATTTCTATACTCTATTTTATTGAAAAAAGTTTTATAACACCAAAAATTTCATAAACACTGAATTCATTCTCTCTTGGGTATATTACCATATATAAGAAGATTATCTCCTTGTACTCTGTCCTTTTCTAGTTAAATTCTCAACTTTTTTCTTGACTTGAGCACTAAAGACTTCTACTAAAACACTTTTTCTCTTTCTCAAAACTTGAGAAAAGATATTGGTCGAATGTATAGATATATGCTTTGGAGTAGGTGCTCTTGACATTTCTTCTTCTTGTCTTTTACCCTTAACTAGTGCCTTTATCTTAGCTACCTCAAACTTCAAAGATTTAATCTCAAACTTGAAAGACTCCTAAAGCCTTTCAAGATAAAGAGTAAACATTTTAGCTTGAGTCTGAAACCTGAATTCTAATTATTCATCTAAAATACTCTCTATCAAAATCTTTTAAATTGAATCAAGAAAATTTATACAAATAAAATAAAATTAAATAACAATTGTACAAAACTATTAAAGATATATATTTTAGAATCAT